AACAACAACAACAACAACAAATAGATACCACCTGGATTATTAAAGTAATCAAGCTCTTCATGGTGTATTGCTTAACACATCCAGGTTGGCAGTTCAAAAGATCACCACCTGGTTTTCGGAATAAAGATGGACAGTTTCTTTTTGTAAAGATTTATGGAATTGGAACTCAACGGTGGGGGGAGGGGGTGGTCACTGTGATTCAAAAACCCACACTATTGCAGTGGGCAAGGGAAATCCTTCACTGAGGTCTTTCCAAGTGCAGACAGATACTTCTTTTAAACTTCCAAGTATTAAGAACTAGTGAGACGATTTTAAAATTCTGAGTATTAAATTATTACTGTATCCTTCTCCATATGTATCAAAATAAACCAAAAAAAACCCCACCCCAACCCTTAAAATAAGTATTGAGAGACACAGAAAACTTCTTTGAACTTTTCTATGAATAAAGTGTTGATTCATTTAAAAGTATCAGGTATCAGATATTTCTGCATATGGATAGCTTGTGTCCTCACTTGTCTTCTGGGTAATTTTAGTTCTAAAAAGTAGGGTAGTTGTGTAAAAAGGTGTAAAGCTGTTAACAAAATGTGTTAGTCATGTTTGTTCTTATTTATTACATCAACAAATTTATTTGTTCAACAAACAGTAGCCTGTGCACCAAGTATTCTGCTCAAAGTAGAATGAACAATATATAAAAGTAAAGTAGTTATTTAAAAGATTATTTAGCATCATTAAGGTCACTGCAAAGCAGTTTTGAAAAAGAGGTTAGATGTGTATGATTTTGGGTGCCATTGTTCTATAAGTTATTAAATTTTAACTAAATTAAATTAATTTTTGGAACTTCTGCTTTCAACTATACCAAGGTAGCTTTTAGCAGACCACCACTTCTACTGTTATTGTTGTTATGTGCCGTCGAGTCATTTCCGACTCATAGCGACCCTATGCACAACAGCCCTAAACCCTGCTCTATCCTGCGCCAACCGCACTGCCTCTGACACACCCATCCCGATTACCCCAGTCACTGAATCAATCCATCTCATAGAGGGTCTTCCCCTCCTGAGCTGTCCCTCCACCCTCCCAAGCATGATGTCCCTCTCCAAGGACCCGTCCCTCCTGGCAACATGTCCAAAGTATGTCAGACGAAGCCCCAGAATCCTTGCCTCCAAGGAGTAGCTTGGTTTAATCCTCTCCAAGATGAATCTGTTTGTTTTCCTGGCAGTCCATGGTACATTCAGTACCCTTCTCCAGCACCACAGCTCAAAAGCATCCACTCTCCTTCTGTCCTCCCTAGTCATTGTCCAACTCTCTGATGCCTAACAAGCGATTGCAAAGACCATGACCTGTATCAGGCGCACCTTAGTCTCCAGAGAGACACTGTTGCTCCTGAGTACCTTTGAGAGGTCCCTAACAGCAGACTTTCCCATCACGATACGCTTTTTGATTTCCTGACTGCTGGTACCAAGAGTGTTGACTGTGGAGCCGAGCAAACTGAAGCTGTGAACACTCTCAATCTCTTCGTCATCCATCCTGACGCTGCCAATTGGTCCAGTGGCGAGAATCTTTGTCTTCTTGACATTGAGCCTTAGTCCATACTGAAGGCTGCAGTCCTTGACCCTTCGCAGCAAGTGCATGAGGTCCTCCTCAGTTTCAGCAAGCAGGGTTGTGTCATCTGCATAACGCAGATTGTTAATAGATCTTCCACCAATCCTGATGCCACAATTCTCCTCATAGAGCCCAGCCTCTCGGATAATCTGCTCTGCAAATACCACTTCTACTATGAAGTATAAAATCTAGAAAATAGTTTTAAAATGCATGCCTTTCAAAGTATCAGAGAACTCCTCAGTCATTCAGCATTTAAAAAGCTTAGATCCTATGTGCCACTTCTTTACTTGGGATAGTTATTGTTTAATAGCATGAGCTTAGAAACTGAGTACTAAATAATTCAAAATAGGCACAAAGCTAGCAGAGTCATTGCATATCTTGTAGAGTTGAGGAAATAAAAGTAAGTGTTTGATTTGGTCAAGGTAGGCAAGACCTGAAGGGAAATAAACATTGGAGGTAAGAGGAGGTACTGAGAAATAACTTGATATTATCTTCTCTGGTTTTTCCTTTAAAGTATTTATCCATCTTCGGCCAATGTGAAAGGATAGAATAAGGAACCAAGAAGAATTTGAGTGAAAAGCTAGATTGTGTTCTTGGCAGTCTCCCAGAAATATCAGGGTTGTCCAAGAAAGAGATTGGAGTAACAGCAAACTCTCCAACCTTAGAAGGTTATGTGTCTTTAATTGGATTAAAGCCCTCTGTTCCTAATTGATGAGGCAAATGATTTGTTCAAATACACATAGAGTCATCTTGACATGAGGACTTGAAATCTGCTTGCAAAAAGTCATAGCCTTGAAAATTCTGTGGCGGGCACTTTTACACTTTTATCATGAGTGGAGCTGAATCAGTAGTAATTAATAACAGCTCTTATACTAGCTGTTAACCAGATAATAGGATGAGTATTCTTTGGAAGAAAATAAAATAATCTCAAACCTAAATTTTCTGCCATACCAATCACACTATGATAATTTTCCATGTGTTTACCCACATTATCATGGGTTATTATTCATTTTGTAGCTCAATCTAAACCAGTACCTGAGGCTGAGGTATGATTTATACTTCACAAATATTTGCTAGAGTGATATGAACTTCAGTTATTGTTTAATATATTGGATTGTTGTTATGACATGGTGAACAACATAGAAACCAGTGATTGAATAGAATTATTGATATAATAATTTATAAAAACCCAACAAATTAAAGGTCATAGTAGTGTGACAAGTTGATTACATACTCGGTTTCAACTTGCTGGTACACAACAATAATGCTGTTGTATTCCAACAAGTTGGAACTGACTCATAACTGACCCTCCAGTGGGTTTTCAGGGACAGTAAATCACATTGGAGAAGACTGCCCACATTTCTACCATGGAGCAACTGGTGGACTTGAACCATGTTTCTTTGGGATTGCAACACAGTTTCTTGCCACTAGGTCACCAGAGCTCCTTGGTTATATCTATTTGAAGAGTAGGAATTTAAAATAAAGTTTCTTTTCCTAAGTAGAGGTGCATTTAGCAATACATACCTAAACATAGTGGTGGTGTAGTCCATACTCCCTCTAAACAGTAGACATTCCTAGATCCTTGTAGGAAATAGTGATCAAAACAGCTGTATGTTATGGAGGAACCATTTTCATAGGTGCCAGACGTTGAACTAATAATGACACCATTTTTAATAAGTGGAGGAGATGTACACATTCCTTTAGATTCTGAAAAATAATTTTTAAAGCACAAAAAAATTATAAAATTGATTTTATAGCTACACTGGAAAAAATTAGATCTTTTAAGGCAGCGCCCAATACTGCTTTTTTCATTATTTCAAGCATCTCTGATATAATTCCATATTATTAAATGCTTTCTTGAAATTACAGTGCCACATTATGCTATTTCAAAATAATTTTGTAAAACCAACAAAGTATTATTAATAATCATGAGTTTTATTGTTCCTTTTCTACCTAGTCCAAAGTTAAAATATATGAGATGCCCCTATAAAGAAAGCTTTCTGGAGCTGTTTCCTTTCCTTTTTAAAAAAAGTCCTTGTCTCAATGTCCAGAGTGAACTAAACTTCTCAGAGAGTAAGGCAGCCCTCTCCACGCCTGCCTTTTCACTTTGATAAGCCTTTTCTGAGACAATGTTTCCTAAGAATGTCTATGGAGGACAATGCTTTTTCACAGCTGTTCTTCAAAGAAGATTTGCTAGATTGACAATACTTCTAAAACCTGTTGATATTCTCCCTCCCTCAAATTGACTTTTTAATTTTAAAAAAATGCATCAGCATAGTCATCTTATACAAGTGCACATACTGATTGAATCAATGCCCCTGTTATAAATTAACATGGTCATGGTCAACGAGTAAAATAGGTATGAGAATCCAAGAGTGGGAGAGGAGGAGAAGAGGGGTGAGGATGGGCAGGGAGGTAATCATTAGGCTGCACAGTTTGATGGGTAGAGCAAAGAGTAAGTAAAGGAAATGGGAAAGATTAGGTGTGAAAAACAATGTGTACGAATGTTGTAAGCAAACCAGTATAAAACAAAAATTTATTTTTAATAAAAAAATGAGGTCATGGTCATTAATTACTTACATATTATCTTATACCTTTGACTAAAGAGATGATCAAGTAATAAGGCATTATTGTTTTGATTATGGAGGTAATGATCAGTGTCAGAGGGCATCATTATTTTACCTCTTTTAATGCATAATGGATATTTCACTTCTCCTCTGTTACACTGTACAGATAGCACAGACAGTGGGGTGGATGGAGAAAAGTCATATCCTTGTTCACACACAAAATCTATTAAATCACCATGCAAGACTTTTCCTTCATATTTCCACTTCATCTCTATGTTATTTCTCCTCATGTAGTTCACATTTACAGTGCACGGCTCTGAAAGAGAAAATGTTCCATTAAATTCTTCCCTTACTTGACAAATAAGCAAAGCCTATGCTTTAAAAAGTAAATGAGCATGTAAATGAAGCAGTATAAAATTTAAAAACACAACAAAGGAATTAAAAAAAACAGTGAAAAGTAATAAAACGAACAAGTTGGAGCAGGACTTAAGTTAGAGAATGAAGGGGAGGGGGTACATCTGCATACATGAATGAATGAAAAAAACAATTTCTTTGTAAATTTCCATTTAAGTCACAATTAATAAAAAAGAGAGATACCGTGAACTCAAAACTCATTCCCATCAAGTCAGAAAAAAACTCAAAGCTGACCGTCCAGAAAATTTTCAGAGGTTATAAACCACAAAAAAGGGGATCACCAATCTTTCTGCAGCAGAGTAGCGAGTGGATCCTAACTGCCTGCCCCTGGGTTGGCAATTCCTTACTGATTAGGCCACCAGAGCCATCCAAAATCACATTCTATAATAGTTGATATTTATCATTTTCAAAGCTCCTCATACTTGCATGTTGTTGATATTATATGCTGTCTAGTCACCAGAAACTCATAGCACCCTATGTACAGTAGCTATGAACCCTGCCTTATGCTGAGCCAATCTTAGGGGGTCATTGTCAGAATCATTGTTTCTGACACACCTACTCCTCCTTCCCCCAGAAACTGAGTCAATCCATTGCATCCAGGTTCTAGGATCTTCTCCTGTGCTGTCTGTCCCATCACCTTTCCAAACTTGATGTCCTTCTCCAAGGACTGGTCGCTCCTGGCAACATGCCCAAAATATGTGAGATGGAGCATATACATAATTCAACATATACATTCTCCATGTCAAATAAAATGACACAATATTTTTTATCTATAAACCAAATCTTTCACAAAGTCAATTCTGAATCTTGATAATCTCAGAGGGTTTTCCTGGCTGTAAATTTTGTTTTCCTGGATCCTAGAACAGTAGGGGTTTTCTGATTAAAGAATTGGTGGAGTAATGGAAAAGGAGACACTTGAAAAAATTGTATAAAGTTCTTTCTGTACTATAAAGTATCACATGAAAAATAACATAAAATAAAAATATACTAGAAATGAAAGGAGGGTATTGTCTATCTTACCTAAGCAAATAGGTGGAGATGTCCATTTTCCTTGTTCACAACGAGAAATCTTTGATCCTCTCAATAAATAATACTCATTGCACCTATATTCCACTGTAGATCCTGTTGTGTAACTTGTCAATAATTCATCAACAACAGCCCCATTGATTAGATCAGGTGGGGCTTTACAGTTCTCATTATTTCCTAAGAAAAGCAATTAGTATTAACTCATATCTACATAAGACAGCATCATACAGTTGTCCCTAGTACAAAACTCAAACCAGCAAAAAACTGTTGTCTTTAATCTGACCTTTGGTTATCTGACTTTCCTTTTAATCTATCTTTGAGTAAGATTAAACCATCAACCATTCTGTTAAGGGTCAAGCGATTAATCATTTGTACCAAAGCTTCTGAACAGTTTTACTCTACCAATTTGGACAATGAACTCTTAAATTCATAAGAAATGTTATTATAACACAAATGTCTTAGAACAAATAGTAAATGTTTAGCCTAAAAACAAGTGTGCAAAGCTTTTCTATTTTCTTTATGCAAGAACCTACAGTATAGATATTCTTGTAACTTATATTCTAAAACTGTCCTGTGGCATGATCCATCTTTGGGTTTTTTCCCTCCTCATTCCTATCCTAAAAGTTTCTACAAATTACTCATGAAAAGAATTTCTAATTTTTCCCCTTTTTTGAGTCTTTATCTTACCCTGGTAATATTATTTCTTTTATCTGTAGTACAATTTGCTTTATGCAATAAGTTTCTAAGGCAAATGTATTTGTGAATATCTTTCTAGGATTTTATCAAGGAAAGAGAAGGATTACTGAAAGGGTAGCAATAGGAAGGTAGTGTGCTGGTCCCTGATATCTTTCAGTGAAATGGAATACCAGGGACATGTCTCAGTAGAACTGAGTATTCTATCCATTGAGTATTCTATCCTGGCTTCATAGGACATTGCCACAGCCATTCACCCAATCCCACATGCTCTTATTTTCAATAGAGATGAAGCACATTTGAACTGTAACTGAAAAGTCTTAAATCGTGGAGTCAAACTGATTACATAGCAGTGCCTACCACTAATAATCATTCAAAAGTGTGTAGTTTTCCATTTCTCTGAAAAATATCCATTTTAGCCTCACTCATTCTAACTCTTGAAGATCCTGTGTCTGCAAGCACAGAGCTGCCTCCCATAGGGTTGTCAGTAGCTGGTTGGGTTTGTTTGGGTTTTGTTTGGTTTTTTTTTTAAATAGATGACCAGGCTCTTTTTCCAAGGTGTCTCTAGGCTGAGTCAAACCTCTAATTTTTGGCTTGGATAAAATTCTACAGATGCCTCCATATACAAAAAAGTAGCAGATGCAGTGTTAATTTATCGTGAACTTTTCTGATCAGCTTCTTCCTGCTATGATTATGTGGGTCAAACAAGCAGAATGGAACTGTTTACATGTGAAGCTTAGTTATTGAGGTGAAATGCAGCATACATACCAACACATTCAGGGGGACGTGTCCATTTCCCATGCTGACAAATGATCTCATTAGGTCCCCGCATGTGGTAACCATTTTCACATCTATAGGTCACCTTCCCCCCATTGTAGTAAATCTCTGCTTGTATGGTTGCTGCCCCATGCTCAATTAGGGGTGGTTCCTCACAAGTGATCTTCTCCTTCACTTCTGAAAAGGCACAATTTAAAGAGCAGAGATCTCTTAGTTGCACGTGCGCATTTTGTTTGGGGAAAACTTTACTCACGGTGTTGCTAACCGATGCATTTTGGAGGTTCTGTCCATTTTCCGTTTTCACAGTGTATATCTTCCGACCCCTGGATCTCAAAATTCAATTCACATTCTACATGAACAGTTTCTCCATGGCGAAATGTTGTCTGAGAGTTTTGAATTTTGGAATTGAGAGGCAAAGGTGGAGGAGGGCATCTATTTCTTCTTCCTTAAAGAAATAAATGAGCATTTTAGTCATGTAACTACCAAAAAACGTATTGGTTATGACTTAACAAGCACTTCCAAGGTGCCAACCACCATGACAATATGCTGGACAGACTTTAGGGAGAACCCCATGACCCCATCTCCCAGTGTTTACTCTCCCTTGAGTGACTTGCTCCAAACTAGTAGAATGGAGCAAGACTGGTGTGATATACAATATAATTTTTCATATATGATTATGTTACATTAATATCCTAGTCCTGGTCTTACTGAGTGAGTCTCTCCCGTGCTGCTTGTGAAGATATCAGTTTCTAAATGGGATGCTGAAGCAGATCTCTGGCTGAACGATAGCCAAAACCTGAGACCCTCAGACTCACAGTCAGCTAAGAACTGAATACCACAAATAATGGCAAAGTGTCCCAAAGAAGGCCTTTAGCCAATCTCAGAGGAGCTGCAACCCCAAATGATGCCAATATAACATCTTTGTTAGAGTCAAAAATGGAGGACCACTAGCTAATTAGTGACCAAACTCTTACCCTACCGGTCCCTAAAATCACTGTGGTCAAGGTGAGTCTGACTACTGACAACCCTCCATTTGGTTTCTCCGGCTGTAATGCTTGATGGAAGGAGCTGATTATCTTTCTCCATCTGAGCTGCTGACAATCCTGAAACCTCAAACTTTGGGATAGCAGCCTGAAACACAACACATTGTGCCACCAGACTCCTTGAGCCAGAGAAACTGTGATATAATAAATGTTGTACCAAGCTCATAAATTTGGGGTAATAAGCAACAATAAAAAAAATCAAAGCGGTAAGCATTTTACATCTTCCACCAGTCCTGATGCCACAATTCTCCTCATAGAGCCCAGCCTCTCGGATAATCTGCTCTGCATACATGTTGAAAAGGTATGGAGACAGGATGCCTCCCTGG